GAACAAAAACCAGTGCAGCAGATAAATAGAGAGAGAGATTTGTATCAAGGCAATGGCTCACACAGTTGTAGAAGCTGGCAAGTCTTAAGTCCGTGGGTCAGGCTGGAGGCTGGAGGCTTCTGCTGACTCACGTAGCTGCAGGGGCTGACAAACCTAAGATCAGCAGGTCAGGCAGCAGGCTGCTGGCTCACAGGCTGCAGAGGCTGATGAATCCCAAGATCAGCCGCAGGTAAGCTGCTAGCTCAAGTCCCAGGAACTGAAGGTCAGATGAACTGGAGCCTGCTGCAGTGTCCAGGGTGAGTCAAAGCCAGTGAGTTTGCCAGAAAGTCTACATATATTGGATGCAGGCCACACTCCCAAGGAAACTCCCTTTGAACTGACTGGCTGCTCATAGCAGATCTCATCAGGGAAGTGATTACATCGTTACGTAACTGCCAGACTACATCCTAACTGCCGAACCACTGAGAATCGTGGCTCAGCCAAGCTGCCACACAGCCTTAACAATCACAGAGGATGACACAGGGCAAGGCTAAAGAGATGGACCGGAAGAGGGAAACTCCTGTCTGGTGGTGACTCGCGGTGTGACGCCTGGTTGAAAACACACACCTGGGTGTGTGAGAGACAGAAACCAAACCCAAACCCACTGCAGTCGAGTCTATTCCAACTCATGGTGACCCCACGTATTACAGAATAGAACTGCCCCATAGGATTTTCTTGGCTGTGATCTTTGCAGAAGCAGGTTGTCAGGCCTTTCTTCTGTGGTGCCACTGGGTGGTTCCAATTGCCAACCTTTAGGCTAACAGCCAAGTGCAAACTGTTTGCACCACCAGAGACCTTGTGTCTGACAGACCCAGGTCTGGATCCAGCCTCCACCACTTCTTTTGTGACGCCAGGCAGGTTACCTAGCCCTCTCTCTGCTCAGTTTCCTCATCTGTAAAAGGGGGCTAACACTTGGCACAGCACGTGTGTACAATTAACATGAGCTACTTGTGAGCACAGAAGTGATAAGATGGATATCAAAGCTCTTTGCCAATGAATGCTAGTTGTATTGTTATATTGTTGACGAATACTCTTGGCAAATGTATCCGTTTCAGTTGATAACACTGAGGCCTTCCAAACTACGTCACCCCCAAAGAAAAGGTCCTCCGCACAGCCCGGGCTGCCCCCAAAGCAGGTAAACATCCTGGGAAAGGAATTCCTTCCCAGGTGTGTGTTAAAAAATAAAGGAAGTGTGGAATTCCCCCACTCATTCTGAAAAAGCATGAGTACAAGGAACAATCATTAACTTTCACATTCAGTGGAATTGTGTGGCCACGTTTCCAAAACAATCTTAAATCAGGTGGAACAAATAAGACTGTTAGTTTCAAAATTATCTTAAGTTAGTGAGACTTGTATCACTCACGTCTATCTATGTGCTTACTTTGTTAAAAGCAGAACAAAAAGAGGAGCACTCCGATACTTGGCATTCATGCCTATAATTCCCATTAAGGAACGCTGGATTGGGAGAACGGGGCTCACAAAGAGTAACTATGGAAAATCCATTGTTCGCCAAATGGGCATGGAGAGGAATTATCGCGCATGGGAAAGCTCACGGTTACCTAAGACAAGAGACAATTGTTTATGGGAAAATTGTTTTCCCATTGGCTTTAGTTTCCAACACTAAGGTTTTCAAGAGGGACTGAAAGAGTAAGGCTTTTGCCTTTTTTTATTATAAATTATCTTTTTTCTAAGAGCTTAAAATCTTTTCCATGTACTGTCTCATTTTCTTAGTCACTCTTGGGGCTAAAAAAATGGAAGCTTTTGACTTAAAGTAGTTTTTAGTGGAACAACGGTTCTTTAGTGCTTGCCCTTCTCGGGCAAGTTAGGCAGACACCCCGACCGCAGTACACGGGCCATATACTGGAAAGAAAACTAAGAAGCCAAGAGACTGGAAGGATTGTTGGAGTTGAAAGAGTTGAGGAGGTGGAATGGACAAACTCTAGGATTGTTAGATGTAAGGGATGAGGCAAGGGTAGTTACCCAAGTCTCTGGCTTGGGAAATGGTACTAAGGGGTCACACAGGGAGCGTGGGTAAGAAACAGGTCTGTGGGATGGAGGGAGATTAGTTTAGCTTTGGCTGTCTGGAGTTTGGGGGCTTCCAGGGAGGCAGGTGCCATGTAGGGGTGTGAAGCTCTGGGGAGGATGTGGCCTGGAGCTCCAGCCGTGGGCTTAGACATCATCAACAGATAGGAGGTTATGGAAGCCACCGGAGTGCATGTGATCACTCTCCAGACTGCACTGGAGGAGTGGATGCAGTGAAACCAGGACAGAGTCCTAGGGAACCCAACATCAAGGCCAAGGTTAGTGTATCTAAGCCAGTACATGGTGAGAATCCACTGAGGTGGTGGCTCCCGACCCTGGCTGTGCACTGGGACCCAGCTGGGAGCTTTAACAACTCTCAGCACCCAGGCAGAACCCCAGTTACCCCACAATCTCCGGGGATGGACCTGGTATCATATTTTCAAAGCTCCCCAGGTGATTCTAATGAGAACCACTGACTTGTTCAAAAAAGAGAAGGCTGTACCCTTCATCCAGGATGTCCTCCACCTACTCCTCACTTGCCACCCCTGTCCCCACAGAGTGACCCCTTGCCTCCAAAGTCCAGAGCACATATCATCTCCAATAGCACCTGGTACTGAGTCACCCTCTGGCTGGGTGCCATTTCGCATGGCTTCCCAACTGGGGGTGCACACAGCTCAGGGAGGACCCACACCCTGTCCCTTTTCCCAGCCTCACTGTCTAGCAGAGAGCTGGACACCCAGCAAGTGGTCACTGCTGGCTGGCTCAGGGAGGACTGGGGAGATCTGGCCCCGAAGGCCCATGCTCCTGCCTGCGTCTATTCCTAAGTTTCTCTCCTGCCTGGTCCTGTTGGATTTCTCAAGAGCTCGGAATTTCACACTTGGCCCTTCTGCATAGAATCAGGATTTTTAAGCTGGAAAAAGACTTAATACATTGCTTTGACATACCAGAGAGTTGATTTTTATTTAAATCAAGCCCAGAGGTGGGCTTTTGTCAAAGCTAAGAGGGTTGATTTTATTAACTAAAAATCATGAATGGGGAGGGTGGGGAGATGACTGAGAGCATGTTTGGTCTGTCTGACAGATGTGATTGTTCGGGGCAGAGCGGCAGGGCCTGCTGCTAATATGCCATGATGAGCTGTCGTTCTGGCTAGGTTTTTAAATAAAATAGCTTCATGATTCCAGAAACAAGGTATTGTAACTAATAATCTATACCTTGATTTTAGATTTGAGAAAACAAGGTCTTTATGGACAACAAAAATTGTTTTAAGCGAACAGCCAGATTGAATACACGATGATCTTTTTCTCTAATGTTCTAAAACTAGCGAAGAGTCATTATCTATTCAGATTCTGGTGCCAAAACTACACTCACATGTCAGGGCCAAAATAAAGTGCCCACGAATGCAGGCCACCCCCAAATTCAGCAGAGCTGGGGGTAGAGGCCTGGTGCTCAGCCTGATGTAGGAAAGAGCCTTTGGGGCCAGAAGATCTTGGTGTCTGAGTTGATCTCGACTCAGCCACTCATTCATCTCTCAGGGACTTAGCATTTCCACCTCTAAACAGGGTCACCGAGGCCCACCCCTCCTATCTGTGGTGAAGAGTAAATGATACAGCATTTGTATGTGGCCTTGTGGTTCCAACACAGACCCCACAGCCATCAGCCTGGGCTAGAATCCTGGTTCTGCCACTTTCTAGCTGTGTGACCTCGGGCAGGTCACTTAACATCTCTGAGTCTCAGTTTTCCCATCTGTAAACAGGGATAACAGTTCCTGCCTCACAGGCTGCAGTGAGGATTAGTCACAGCGTCATGCGTGAATCCTTCAGGCTCAGGAAGTATTTGCCCTGCGCTGGCTCTTACTGAGCATGATGCTGCGTGGGACTTGGGTGGATGGATGCCTGACGCCTGGCGGCTCCTTAACTGCTTGGTGCTCGTATTGTCCTCACATCGCCTGCCTCGGTGGCTGAGATGGAAACGTGGGCCTCTGAGGTCTGAAGCACTGCGGCTCTGGGTCTGAAGAAGAAAAACGATGGAACAGCGCTCAGCCAGTGCTGCTTTCTCTCCGCCCACCTTCGCGTGCTGGGGCTGTGAATGCTACCAGCCTCGGTGCTGTACCAGCCAAGGATCAAGTTCAACCAGGGCCCACTTTTGCCTTTGAACTTTGGTAATCAGCTTTAGAGCCCTGCCATCATACCGGGGAGACAGAGGGAGCGGCTGCAGTATCCCTGGACATGTTGCCACCGCATGTTGAAAGGCTGTCAGTTTAAAATCACGCCTGCTGCCTTCACGATGTTTTAAGAAATACAAAAATAGGCATACATAACACTCCACTCACTGTGGCTGCGCAGCCTTTTATCTGTCACCATTTCACACAAAGCACAGGTTGTTGCAAAAATGCCTGCACTCCACTGCCGTGGGGTGCTTTGAAGAGATTGTCGAACGTGCGCGATGAGCCACGGGTGTGCCAAGGCTTGTGACCACCTTCTAGCCAGAGCCTGGGCCACAAAGGCACCGCCAGACCCAGAAGGACAAACAGCATCGCCGGGCCCTGTAACTAGCGGTTTTCCTCTTGGCTGGCAAGCTTGAATAGACCTGCGAACCCCAAGTAGACTGTAATTAAAACTCCTGGCCCAGTTCCCTTCGTTTTCACTTATTTCAAGCCAACTGAGGGGTGCCTTGGGGTGCCAGAGCGGAGTGTGCCAACTCCATGTACCTGCTGGCCACAGGGCCCTAGAGTGGGCGGGGTCGTGGCTGCGCCCACGTGCCCAGAAGGAGGTACATCCGGTGGGGCACGTTGCGTGCCCCGTGTCGGCAGGAGGCACTGCTCTGGCAGCTGTCACCAGCGTCCTGGGGAGCCACCAGATGTCAGAGCCCGCGGAGGGATCAGATGTGTGCCCAAGAGCAAAATGGTGTTTTCAAGCGAGTCTCTCCTTTCTCCTTCATAGGTGGCTCGGCAGCTCCAGCCGTCTGTGGTGTGGATTGGGGAAACAGAAAAAACCTTCTACAAAAAAGTGCCCAGCAATGAAAAGAAGGTGAGAGCGTCCCCACCGTTTAATTCGGCCTTTTCCTTCCTCCTCGTTGGGCCCCTGACCCGGCCCCTGATGGGGGACCACCTCTGCTTTTTGAGGCGCTCTTGCAATTTCAAAGGAGGACGGAAACGCACGGGCTTTAAACGTCCCACGTTGCTCTCTCGGGGCTCCAGGACTCGCGCGTGTGAAAGGACCCAGTGGCCCAATTTTATGAGGCATAATCTATAAGAAAATGAAAGAAGGTGTGGAAGAGGGGGAGAGGGGACTTTAAACCCAAACATATGACTCAGAGGTAAGCAATGATTTAGAGAGCTCTCTCTAAATGGCACACAGAGGGGTTATTATTAGGATTTCCTATCGTTCATAATAATTAATAGCAAAGGTCTGAAATTTGTGAACAAAGGCCATCCGCAGACCTGCTAAGTGGCCCGCGTTTGGGGCCCCCCCGGGGGGCTCTCTCAATTGCTTCCTTCCTCCTTTTCTTTCCTCTCAATGGCCCCCTCCCTTACACTTCCCCCCACAAATCGCCAGCAAATTTCCCACGAGTTAAAAAAAATTTGCAGATACACATGCTTGTTATTCCACATCAATTTGCACAAGAGCAAATAGTGGTTAACTGAATTTCTGATTAAATTCATAAGCGTTTTAATCACTTTTGATCCTTATGTATTATACATCATTTTTAGCAGGTAGAGATGATTTGGGTAAAGAATGGGAGCGCAATCTTTTCTTCCCCAAATGAGCCTTGATTGCCCTGCCATTTCAGAGACGGTTAGGAGGACTCATTTATTATTTCATCTGGGACTCTGGTAGTTAGCTCCCTCTGCTGGCTAAACTCCTACACTGAAAAAAAAAAAAAAAAAGTTCTCTTATTTGCAAAATTGATAGCGGAGATTCCTATGACAGAGACCATAAATCTAAAGAGCAGTGCAGGGCAGTGTTTAACCCAAGGTGTCAGGAACCTGCAGCTGACAGAAGCTTTGTCTCCTGGAGGGGCAGGGGCTACTCTGTCTGACTGGACATCAGCCTAGGTCGTGGGGGACTCCTGCCTGGAACCCAGATATGTGGGTCCCAGGCCTGCTCTGCTGTTCACCTCACAGCTGTGTGTCCTAGAGCAAGCAGCTGAACCTCTCTGAGCCTCTGCTTCCTTCACTGTCGAGTGAAAGGGCTGACAGGAAGGTTATTCAAACCCCTTACAGCTGGGATACACGCTGAGGTCACAAAGCCTTCTATCCCGTGATCCTTTGAGCTGTCGGCTTGCCATCAGTCATTACAGCCCTCCACTCACCTGCACACCTGAGTCCATGGAGAGTAAAAGGAATATGACACGTTCGTTGATGAGAAGCCAGAGACTCAATGGGAAGGGCTGGGAGGGGGCTTTGAGGGGGGGCTGAAGGCAGGAATGAAGTATGGGCTCAGGAGACACAGCACAGGAATCCTTGGGTGGTGCCAGGGGTTAACGTGTTTGGCTGCTAACAGAAGGGTTGGAGGTTCAGTCCAGCCAGAGGCACCTTGGAAGAAAGTCCTGGCTATCTACTTCCAAAAAATCAGCATTAAAAACCCTGTGGAGCACAGTTCTACTCTGACACTTACAGGGTCGCCATGAGTTGGGATCGGTTCATTGGCAACTGGATTTTTAGACACAGCACATAGAGGGAGGGACTGTGCAGGGCAGGAGGGAGGTGACAGGGATGAAGACGGAGCTGGAAACCCCGCGGCCTCCCCGACCCCGCCTGTGTTACTGACACGGAGATTGTCTGATTGCCCCGAACACAGTCATGGGTTCGTTTCATTCTGGTAGAAAATGAAGTTCTTTGCGACGGCAGTCTTTGCTGTGGACAGTCGGACGTCTCTTCTGTTTACTTCTGTATTAGAAGAGTCTGCAGGCGGAGGGGCATTACAGTGAAGAGCACAAATCACCGCCTGTTGACAAGCGGAGGGTCCCTGGATGCCAGATCACCCACAAGGCCAGCCCCGGGGCCTGAGCCATCCCGGGCACAGACGGAGCTGAAAGAGGCTGCACACCCCCGCCCCAGCGGTCCTGGCCCCCAGCTCCAGCACCGAGACCCTCGCCCCAGCGGTCCTGGCCCCCAGCTCCAGCACCCAGACCCTCGTCCCAGCGGTCCCGGCCCCCAGCTCCAGCACCCAGACCCTCGCCCCAGCGGTCCCGGCCCCCAGCTCCAGCACCCAGACCACCCGCCTCCACCCTGACCCAGCCTCTGTCCCAAAGGCGCCCAGATCTTAAAGGTGCTGGCTCAGAGAAGGTCTGTCTGCAGAGACACCTGGGGCGTTCCATCGGCTCCAGCCAGAGTACAAACAGATGCACTGGACTGAGGGGTCCCAGGAAGCCCTGAAGTAAAATCTCATCCACAGGGACTGAGGCCACCCTCCCACCTCGTCCCTCGGCTGTGGCCACTCTGCTGGTAAAGTACATGGTGGTCACACAGCCGTCAGCAGCAAGGCCATGGAGAAGGGCAGGCTTGGCGAGGCGAGCTGTGCCCAGGAACACGAGGCCTCTGGGCTCTGGGAAGGCGAGGAGGCCCTGGGGGTAGCGGCACGCACTGAACGCCTTCCCTCACCAGGCAGCCTTGGGGGGTGGAGGGGCACTGTGCCCCCTGCTTACAGAAGAGGACCAAGGCTCCCACAGGCCCACAGCTGGGTGGCCTCGGAGCTGACCTTCAGAGTCAGGTCGCCCGACAGCCCAGGCCTCCAGGACGCAGGGAGACACTGAACGCAAACCACGGCCTCCAGCTACCCGCAGGCCAGCCCGTTGGGGGCACTTAGAGTCCACCCGCACCCACAGCCAACCCTTCCCTGCCTCTGGTCCGCTCCAGGCCGACCCGGACAACTGCACTTGGGGACCTCTCGACTTCTCTGGAATCTCCATCCTCCCTACCACACTCCTCCTCCCCACGGTCCTTCACAACCTCCAGTCACCACGACCGCCCCCCGCCCCACACACACACACAAGAAGCCCTTGCAGCCCTAGGATTTCAGGATGGTCCAAGCTCTAGGCCCCTGTCCCTTCCAGGCCCCGTCCCTGCCACTTCAACAGCATCCCCTGCCCCTGGCAGACGCCGGCCCTGCCCCAGGCCTCTCCCCCTCCTAGGAGCGGTGGGTGCAGTGGGTCAGCTGTTTGTGCGCAAGGCGCAGGCAGTAAAGAGTGAGGCTCCACCGTCCGTGCCTGCATTTTCTGCACCATTACCCTTCGTTACTTTGTCTAGCGGGAGCCTTCCCTGACATCACAATGGCGCCTCCGCCAGGGAATTGCTTGCTTTGTTGAAGCTGGCAGCTGCGGTTGTTTCGTGGCGCTGACTGCAGAAAAGCAAACTGAAATTGCTGTGTGGATGCTAGCCACTAATTTGAAATGGCCAGCGATAATACAGTTGTGCGGGGCTGGCAGGCCCAGCGGCTGGTTCCCAGGTGATGGTGGGGATGTTCGCAGGCGTGATCGATGAGTTTGGGGCTCATGCATGCATAATGAGCGTCTCTGAACTGGAACGGGGTGGCCCGAGTGCAGGGGCTATGGGTTGAATGAACTCACCTTTCATTTCCGTCCCCTCCTAGTGGGACTCTACCATGTTGCTCTGGACGAAGCCCAGGATCAACATTCATTATCCAAATAGATTCATTGAGTCCAGGTGTCCCTGCCTTTCCAGGACACGCAGGTTGGAGTACCATCTCCTGCCCCAGGAAGGGCAGGGCAGCACCGCTGTTACCATGGTAACTGGTCTGCTGGGGAAGGTCCCGGACTATGCAAGATGGCCCTCTGCCCCCATGGAGTCGCAGTCTCCAGCCTCACAGGGACCCTCCTTCACACCCTACACGTCGCAGCCACACACACCACCACCCCCCACCGCCTTGCCCTCTGCCAGGCTTCTTGAAAGACCAGTCCACTCTCACCATCCCCACTCCCGCTTCAGCCCACCACCATCCGCTTGCCGCCCTCACCGTGCCCTATAAATTGCTCTCTCAGAGTTCTTCTTGGACTTCGATTTTGCCGGTGAATGCTTCGGCCTGCTTTCTCTCCCTTTCTGCTGCATTCAGCATGCTTCAAGTCTACCATTGCTTAAAAGTCTCCCCTCCGGCTTCCATGACAGCGCTCTCCTGGGTCCACTCACACCCGCCGGCAGCTCCTGCTATTTCTCCTCTGTGTTCTTCTATTATTGTAGCTGCCATCAAGTCGGCCCGAACTCGTGGCAACCCCGTGCACGACGGCATCAAGCCGTTGTGAGCCACAGGGTTTTCATTGACTGATTTTCAGAAGTAAATCGCCAGGCCTTTCTTCTTCGTCTTATTTTGGACTCTCCCCTGAAACTGGCTCGGTGTCACATACATCCCCCTCCCCTTGCCTGTGTCTGTGCTCCCTGAGGTTCCCGCCTGGCTGTTTCTTTCCTCTTCCCCTACCCTCCGTGGGCACCGTCTCCTGCACCAGTGGCAGCTGAGCTCCATCCCCGGCCTACGCCTCGGGTGCACTTGGAATCCCCCACCGGACACCACCCCACAGTGCCTCAAACTCAGCCCGGCCCAACCCAGCTCTCCTCTCCTCGCCCCTTGCTGCCCACCACCCCAAAGTGCTTCTCCTCCTGCATTTTCAAAGGACTGTTTAAAATGTTTTTAATATAACCACCTTTCCGCCACCTTTTGTGAAAAGGCTTTGGATTCATCCTGGTGAAATAAACCCCAAGTGTGGCAAATATTCTAAGCCTCACCTAAGCGCTGTGGACTGCTTCCCGGCACAGGTGTAGACTCCTTCCAAAGTCTTAGCAGAGAGCTTTTCCGGTGTGGCGCGGGGCCCAGAGGCGACTCGTTAGAACTGAGTGTCACAGACATCATCCAGTACAATGGAAGTTGATGGGGGCTTTTTACACAGTGGTTTTGAGCGCTATTGGCAGTTTTGCTAGTTTCCTCCAAATTGCAAAGCCCCTGTTTGTTTGTTTTTTGTTTTTTGACTGTCCTGTTTAAAAACCTTACTCCTCAACAGAGCAGCCCCAAAACCTGCTGCCGTCGAGTCAGTTCCGACTCATAGCGACCCTATAGGACAGAGAAGAACTGCCCCATAGGGTTTCCAAGGCTGTAATCTTTACGGAAGCAGACTGCCACATCTTTCTCCTGCAGAGAGGCTGGTGGGTTCGAACCGCCAACCTTTCAGTTAGCAGTCGAGCACTTTACACACTGCGCCACCAGTGATCCTTCCACAGAGCTGACCCCATGTCGATGTCTCATCTGGACTTGTATTTCAGAATAAAACGCCAATGATCATTTATTGAGCACTTACTCTTTGCCAGGCAGACACATCACATCGTGTAATCCTCACAGCACCCCAGTGAGGTAGTCCTAGCATTGTCTCCATTTTATAAATGCAGGGACTAAGGTTCAGAGAAATTGAGTAAGCTGCCTGAGGCCACATAGGAGTTCAGAGCAGAGCCAAGACTGGAATCAAATCACTGTGAGAGTCCCCATCTCTTTCTCTTCTGTGAGTTACGTTACAAACAATCCCCTCTAAACTCAATCCAACAACATATAAAAAGGATTAGAAGCCATGACCAAATGGAATTTATCCCAGGAATGCAAGATTGGTTTACCCTCTGAAAATCGATTAATGTAATACATTGTATTAACAGAATAAAGGACAGATGCCACATAATCATCTCAATAAATGCAGAAAAGGCATTTGACAAAACTCAACACCCTTTCATGATTAAAAAAAAAAAAATCCACAAAGTAGGAATAAACCTGATAAAGTACATTTATGAACAACCCACAGCTGGCATCATACTCAATGGTGAAAGACTGAAGCTTTTCCCCTAAGGTTAGGAACAAGAGAAGGATTTCTGCTCTTACCACTTCTATTCAACAGTGTACTGGACATTCTAGCCAGCGCAATTATGCAAGAAAAAGAAATAAAAGGCATCCGGACTGGAAAGGAAGAAGCAAAACTATCTATTTGCAGATGGTGTCATCTTATATATAAAAAATCCTAAGAAATATACTAAAAAACTATTTGGACCAATAAACAAGTTCAGCAAGGTTGCAGATTTCAAGATCACTATTTTAAGAATCAGTAGTATTTCTATACAGAAGCAACGAACAATTCAAAAATTAAATTAAGAACACAGTCTCACTTATAGTAGCGTCAAAAAAAATCAATAAAATACTTAAGAATAAATTTAACCAAAGAAGTGTAAGACTTATACATTGAAAACTAGGAAACATGGTTGAAAGAACTGAAAGCAGACCTAAAGAAGTGGAAAGACACCCCAAGTTCCTGGATCAGAAGAGTTAATATTGTTAAGATGGTGATACTCCCCAAACGGACCTACAGATTCAATGTAATCTCCATCAAAATTCCAGCTGGCTTCTTTGTATAAATTGACAAGCTGTTCCTAATTTTCATATTGAAATTCAAGGGACCCAGAAGAGCCTAAACAACCTTGAAAAAAATGAACAAAGTTGGAAGACTCACACTTCCCGGTTTCAAAACTGTCTACAAAATCCCAGCAATGAAAGCAGTGTGGTGCTGGCATTTGCTGTTGTTGTGTTGTGCCATGGAGTTGATTCCAACTCATAACGACCCTATAGGATAGACATACAGATCAAGGGAATATCATTGAGAGTCCATAAATAAACTCATGGTCAATTGATTTTTGACAAAGATGACAAGATCATTCATTGAGAAAGAATAATCTTTTCAACAAATAGTGCTGAGCCCACTGGATATCCACCGTAAAAGAATGAAATTGGACTCCTACCTCACACCATGCACAAAAAATCAACTCAAAATGTATCAAAGACCTAAAAGTAACAGCTAAAATAAAAAGATTAAACATAGTTACCATATAATCCTGCAATTCTGTATAAATATCCAAGAAAAATGAAAACACATGTCCACACAAAAACCTGTACATGAATGTTCATAACAGTACTATTCATAATAGCCAAAAAGTGGAAACGGCCCTAATGTTCATCAACTGACAAATGGGTAAATGTGTTCTATCCCTACCGTGGTTATCATTCAACAATAAAATGGAATGAAGTCCTGATACATGTTACAACATGGATGAGCCTTGAAAGTGTTACACTAATGGAAGAAGCCAGTCACATTGATATGAAATATCCAGAATAGGTAATTCCACAGAGACGAAAAGAAGATTAGTGGTTGCCTAGGGCTTCAAGGGGATGAGTGGAGGGAAATTGAAGTGGCTGCTAATGGTACCAGTGGTTACACATGTGTATGGATATACTCAAAGCCACTGAATTATGCATTTTATATTGGTGAATTTTATGGTATATGGTCCCTGGGTGACCCAAAAGATTTGCACTTGACTACTAACTGAGATGGACCCATAGTGGCACAGTGGTTAAAGAGCTTGCCTGCTAACCAGAAAGTCAGCAGTTCGAATCCACCAGCCACTCCTTGGAAACCCTATGGGGCAGTTCTCCTCTGTCCTATAGGCTTGTACTATAAGTCAGAATTAACTCAACAGTAACAAGTTTTTTTTTTTTTTTTTTTTTTTGGTATGTGAATTATATCTCAATAAATCTGTTTTATATATCAGCTTCCTCACATGTGTATGTATGTATATGTATATGTGTATATATACATATATATAAATACACATATACACACACATATATATATGTATGTGTGTATGAATGTATGTATATGTCCCTTTTTGCCGTCCTTACTTGGGGTACATTCTTATCCAGGAGGGAGATTTGGGGGCAGGAAGCCCCCTCCTGATCATAGTCTCCTCTCCACCCCTCCCATCTCTCTCCACTCTGCTGTCTGCTCTCTGCTCCAGGGAGCCCCAGGTCCCAGAACACCACCTGCTTCTCCCTCCCTGTGCACTGCAGCTTAGCCAGCCCCAGTCCTGACCCCCCAACTCCAGGGCCAGAGTCTGTGAGAGACTCTGTCAATTAAAGGGCCTCCCCAGGATCCCATGCACATGCTTCACCCTGTTCCAGAGGCCCCACAAATCACTATCAGTTCTCACTCACCCCTGCCCCCAGGCTGTGGCCCCAGTGCCCGCTGTTATCCACTGTTATTCCTGAGGGTGGACTTTCTCAAACGCCCACTTCCTTCTCTAGATGACAGCAGCCCTCTTCCTGTGTGAAGGACACCCCCACACTCGGGCCTGCAGGGTGCAAAGGCCGAACAACAGGTGCCCCCCTTGCTAAAGGGTATTGCACAGAGTGGCCCATGCCAGCACCAGGAGAGAGCATTTTTTAATACTCCAGGCTCGATGTTCTGCACTCAACTTGTCCCTGAGCCAAATGGGAGCAAAAATGGCCCAGAGTGAGCTGGGACGTCTCTCTGGAGGCTCTCCATCACCACCAGTGCTCCGTCCCATGCTTCCTGCTCATGCTCTCTGCCCGCTGAGGTGGGCTCCAAGCCACTGCATTGCCCCTGGCAGCGTGGCAAAATCCGACTCCCACAGACCAGAAGCCATCCCACCTGGGGTCGGAACAGAGCACTCCGGTGCGTCTTTCTCCTCTCCCTCATTAGAGTAGAGGTCATTCTAAAAGAACACAGGTTCACACTCTCTCAGCTCTCCTTCAGAGGATGAGTCTCACAACCTTACATGACCGGGTATTTTTTGGACGTGAGGTCCTCATTGTTACAGCTGTGAGCCAAGGAAGCCTTCAGGTGGCCTTCACAACAATCCAGAGGGAACTAGAAGCACCACAGGCTAATTATAAGTCCCCAGCTAGCTTCCTTCCGCTTGGAAGTCCAACGCTGTTTCCCGTTCTTGGGGACAAGGTGCTAGAATGTTCCATCAGGTGCTTCCTGCCTTCCCACTTTCCAAGTCTGAATACTGGGAGGTGGGGGAGGGAAGGAATGCCAGCCGTTGAAGTCACCCAGGTGAATGAGGAATGAGCCCGAAATGGCCAGCTCGTCCCCGGATGTGTCTCAGGACAAACCTTCAGAAATCGTGTTCCTCAGAGCTTTGCAATCACTGCCTTCTAAGAGCACATATCCTTTATCTCTTGGTTCTTTTTTCCATATGTGAGCTAGCTTTGTTTTTTGTGCTTTTTTCTGTCCCTTTCTCCCAGATGGAACCTAAACGCCTGAAAAAACAGCTCCCCAGAATCCTGAAACTCCTGAAACCGGACGATCGGGTCCTGATCGTGGGGACAACGCAGCGGCCTTTTGATGCAGAGCTTCAATCTTTTTGCAAAGTTTACCAAAAAATTATTTTGGTTCCTAGACCAGACTATGCCTCCAGATACGGCAAGTACCTCAGGTCCTTTCTGGGTGCGGTAACTGAGGCTGGGCCACCTGCGGTTTGCTGGCAGTTGTGTGAAGCCAGTGGGGCGGGGGGCGCCCAGAATCCAGTGGTCATGAGCAGGTGAGTTAAGTAGAGCCTGTGCGCTGGAGGCCATCGGTGCCTGGACTAGCAGCAAAACACAGGGCTGTGAACTTGAAATGGTGGAGGCAGTGGTGGCTTCAAGCTAGAACTCTTGCCTCCCGTGCAGGAGAGCTAGGTTCAATTCCCGGCCAATGCATCTCATGTGCAGCCACCACCCCTCTGTCAGGGGAGGCTTGCATGTTGCTATGATGTTAAACAGGTTTCAGCAGAGCTTCCAGACTAAGATAGACTAGGAAGAAAGGCCTTGCAGTCTCTCTTCTGAAAATCAGCCAATGAAAACTCTATGGATCACAACAGTCCAGTCACGAGGACGGTGCAGGACCAGGAGGCATTTCCTTGCATGGGCATGGGGTCGCAAAGAGGTGGGGACAAACTGGATGGGCAGCTAACAACAACAGAGTGAAATGATACATCGTCGTTCTGTTGTGAACGTGTTTCACTTTACCAAAGACAAAAGGAACCTGGACAGGAATTATTGTTCACGGCCCTGAAGGTGACAGAAACTCACTTGGTGCTAATTTTTCTTTTGACGGTAGATTTGAATCCCTCAGCTGGTCTTGCACATGGTAGGGGGGATCTTTCTCATAGAGCACCATTTCTTTTCACCAGGTTGGTGTTTTTTTTTTGGTTGATTAGTTGCTTGCATGTTTTCTAGTCTCAAAACATTGGTAGAACGTTGACATTTCTTTCCACCACTTTTGGTTTTATTCAGTCTTTAAATATTAGTCCAGTAGCATGTTGACTTGTTTAAAATGAACATGAAACACAAGAGCTTGCGTCTCCAATTCTTTCTTCCTGGATAGACAAGTTCAAAATGCACTTCTTTTGATACATCTTTTTAAATGAAAATAGTACAAAAAATGTGACCCTCAGAGGCAGTGCAGTGGAATTGGGAAGAGAGCTGGTCAGAATCCTGGCTCTGCCACCTGATAGCTGTATGAGCCCGACAAGTCATTCAGCCTTTGGAGGCTCTGTTTTCTCATCTGTAAAATAGGACAAGTGTGTCCTTCACAAGGTGTTGTGAAGATATAACAAGGCTCCTTATATGAGGTGGCAGGCAGACCCCCCAGCCCCATCTGGACTCCCAGGAGAGGGTGGGTGATGGTGGTGGTTTGGTGGAGGGAGAGGAGGTGGGGGGAGTGCAGGGAGAGTTGATGGTGGTGGTGGATGGAGAGGTGGTGATGGTGGTGGAGGGAGAGGAGGTGGTGATGATGGTGGAGGGAGAGGAGGTGGTGGTGGTGGAAGGAGAGGAGGTGGTGGTGGTGGTGGAGGGAGAGGAGGTGGTGGTGGTGGAGGGAGAGGAGGTGGTGGTGGAGGGAGAGAAGGTGGTGGTGGTGGTGGAGGGAGAGGAGGTGGT